ACGATTCAAATAATCCCAAACACATTCAGTGACGCATCAGTCCATAAAAACTTTAAACTTCTGTTTGAGTGTTCTAGTTCTTGACAGCTACACATCCTTTCAGACTCATAGTGTTGAGTTGTCTTCTCACAGTAGACGGATGGACAGAAACTCCTGTGGATTTTTTCAGATCTGAAGTAAGAGTGGAGCTCCATTTTCTCCTCTCTCTGAGATGAAAGCTTTAAAATCTCAGATTTTTACATAAGCTTACGTAAGCCTTATTATACAGTAACTAGAGAATTCAATGAAAACTGGTTGAGCTATTATCAGGTTATAGAAGTGTGTAATAAAACGTTTGGCCCACTGGCCATTTAAGGGGTTAAGATAATAATGGTAAGATAATGACTGTTGTAAGGAGTCCCATTTTGTCTGTATGTTTGCACTCCTGTGTTTTGTTTTCCTTTGATTTTCTTCTTCTGTATGCAACTGGATTGTCTTCTGTCTAATCTCCTCAGAAATATCTCATTTAGCCATTTTAGATGCACCTGAGAAAGAAATGCAAGACAGCTAATGTATTTATTTTTGGTAGCTGCTTGTTTGAATGTTAGAGTGGACAAATGAAATGTAAATAGATTTGATATTTTAGTTGGTGTTGGAGGCTTTTGTGTAATATTTTCTGCTTTTTGTCTGACCCTAAAAAATAAATAACTTGAACTAAATGGTCATTTACTGCAAATTAAATAAACAGTAGAAAACAAAACCTAGAATTTCAGCAGGCAAACACTCACATGATGAGCAGTGTGATCTCTCAGCGTTATTAGTTAAGTGAGTTGGAGGAAGCCGAGCAAAGCAAAGAGCACTCTTCTGTTCACCGTGCTGACAGCGGACAGTCTGTCTAGCAGACACTGATCTCTGTGCTCTGGAGACACTACAGGAATGCGATAAACAGCAGGACTAGCCCATAAACTCTGGGCTGAAGCTGCTCTTTTAGGTTATCTTAAACTTTTCTAAATAGATCCTGACCTTAGTCAGTATTAGCTCTATGTGAACAGACCAAAGGGAAGGTCTATCATTAACAGGGACAGCAGTCTTCCAAAGCCAGCTGGAAGCTGTGGATGGGCTTGCAGGAGAGTATGGCTTTCTCTGTGTTGTTCTTAACCCTGAGAAGAAAGATTTGGGGGAACACAGGCTATGTGTAGGGCGCTGTGTGTTTTGGGTCATGAGCGCTGCCCGTAAAGAGCTCTATTCAGCCTCTCCGTCTCCTTCCCTCCCACCCTCCCTCTCTCACTGACATACTCTCACACACTCTGTCTCTCACTCATACACACAGAGCAGCCATTGTCACCGATGGGCAGATCTGGACGCTTCCGCTAGGATGAAGCCCTATCACACAGGAGACCCCGTGTCCACACACACATATACACACAACTCCAATGTGTTCAACATACAGGCACCATACAGTAGAGTGGAGTCAAACATGGTCAACAGCGCACACAGTCAGAATACATCACTGACGCCTCAGTTCTAGGATGCAAAACGGTGTGAATTCTGGATCTCCAGTACAGCTGATTCTAGAATAAGTGAGGTACAACACTGGCTGTTTACACGCAGAGTGTTTGTTCAAATTGTGGATTATTTCCTTTTATAGGGGGGCAGAAAACACTTTTTAAATTCAATTCATTCATTTATATTGTATTTTATTTCTTTTTTATTTTATTCATATATATAGTCTATTTTTCAATATTCTGTATTTCATTTCAATATTTGCTGTTGTCGTTAGAACATTCAGAAAAGGAATTGACAAACCAAATGAACCAGAGTGAATGAGGAGACAACATTCTAGAACAGGCTTGCCCAAGGTGGTACCTGCGGGCCAAATCAAATATCCTTGCAGGCCAACTTTGGCCCGCAGGTTCCACGTTGCCAACCCCAACTCCCACCACTGAGAGAACATGTAGTTTTACACAAACCCTTATTTTTTACCTGCTTATTTTTCTTTTAATATTCAATTCTTTAAGCACTTTTATTAAAAAAGCATATTGTTACTGTCAGAACAAAAACCTTGTATCTCCAAAAAAGTCATTTTTACAGGGGAAGGAAAAAAACATTATTAACTTTCAGTGTAAGATAATGTAACAAGCAATTACAGGTTAACTGAGTGGAACTGGTGGTGGTACACAGACAAGAGGAGACTTAGAGACCACCAGTGGGAAGAAAGAGTGCCTTGTATGTTAGGAAACCACTGGAGTTTTAAGTGTTCTCAATGAGAATTTACTGACAATGTGCAAATACATAAGGCTTTCAAGTTGCTAGCTAGCTGTTTTGTCACCAACCCACCATAAATACTACTCTTTGGACCCCCCAAGACAAATGGTTTGCACACCTGTTCTAGATCATTCCATTAACCGAACACATTTATGGCACACCAACCAAATGTTTCTGTTTGTTTGTGTTTGTTGGTGTTTGTTTGGTCAGTGGCTCTGGTCTTTAATGTTAACCATAGGAACAGGAAGCTCATTCAGGCAGATATCAGCAAACTCAGTTAAAGGTAAAAGACTTTTTAATTTAAGACATCTTAATGCTACTTTAAGAAAATGTGCTGTCATGTAATCATGAACATGCGCCAGCCACACATATTATTATAAAGGTGGTGTTTAAAGCAGAAACCTTCACTTTATGAGTAGAATGTTTGTCCAGTTATGCCCTGCTGATTCAGTAATAATACATACATAAATACTTTCTGAGTTTGGAAGCTGTTAATTAGTCTGTGTCATGATTGGGCTGCAACTGGTGCCCGGCTGCTTTAGACAGCGACAGAATAGCATTCCAGCTTTGAGTGACATCAGCACCTTCCAGCATGGCTGTGATTCAGCTGTCTCCCACAGGGCTCTACTTTTAGCCTGACAGATAAACATCTTACATACAAACAAACATATGCACACACGTTTGTTTTTATACTTTGTCAGGGCATGAGATATATATCTATCTTTGTATGAAGCATTTTACAAATTCAGGAACATTTCACTGGTAGCTTAGATAAAGTATGTTAACATTTTGATTTGGTTTTCTAAATAGTGAAGACATTTTTGTCCTGAAAATATACAAAAACAAATACACATACAAAGCTTATCTAAGCATTTATGAGTGACTTGATACATACATTGCTTAGTTTATGCTTGCCTAAGTCAGAGAGCTCAGCTTGGAAACCAGCATATTTCCCTGTTGCTGATGGCACTGACACGTGTTTTGACATGTTCGCTCCAGTGGAACACGCTTCAGTGTGCCATAAATATTCATTTCCTAGAAAAGAGTGTAACTAGAAAAATATTAAAAAACATGTCGCTTATTCAGAGCATCACAAATGAGCAGCATCATATCATGCTTTTAGTGCTTAAGCATGTGTTTTTTGAGAGCACAATAACTTGCTTTCTGCTGCTCTTTGGCTGGGGCTTAAGCTATGGCAGTAGCCCAGAGACATGGGCAGGTGGCCGAATGTGTGACCCAAACAGACTGCCCAGCGGCCCAGCTACACACAAAGAATCTCAGAATAGTAGTGCTGATCCAGGATCAGATTACTCCCAGTATTTGCTACTGTGAACTGCATCCTGTAAGTCAGATTCAGAAACAGTAAGCTGATGCTACTGGCATCCTATTGTTATACTTAACCTGTATCTATGTCTCTAAAATCAGGGTTGCTTTACAAATACCTTGTTTTAAAAACTCATGAAAGGAAAAAACTATTTCCACCACTCCCAAACTCAAATATGGCATTAATTAATGTCTATTTTATTCACACCGTGGTCAGCGTCTGGCCACAGCACTGCTGGCTGGATATTTTTAGTTGGTTTAGTTTAGTTAGACTATATTCTGAACTAATTTTAATAAATTAAATACAAAATGAATGACTCTTATCAGCCAGGTCTTTAGGCATTATCTTAGAATTTAATACCACTAGTATTAAAGGTCAGACATTTTTTTGACTTTACATTTCTAAAATCTATTTTAAGGCTTTGTAAGACTTTTTAAGGAACCCACAACATTATGGACCTCTGTCAAGAGTTAGTCTGAGTTAGTTTGAGGAACTGTGCAGGTTTGTGTATTTAGACAGCTGAGCCTTCACCTGTTATTGTGATCACTTTGAAATGTAACCCAGCCTCTACTGTAAATATAGAAAATTAAGTGGTGATATTAAAGCTCTAATAAAAGTTCTGGAGCTTTCACTGAAACATATTTGAACCCTCTCATCTGTTCACTTCCTGTGAAGCCATCCTAGATGTTCCTCAGTTCACCACACAAATTAGGCTGAAGTACTAAGACTAGAAAAGTCCTACATTCTATTTCATATCTAACCTTTCATATCTAAAGAGACGTGTAAAAGTGTTTCAGCTCTATTCAAATAGTGGATAACTGCCACAGATAAAAGCAGCTCCCGGACAGACAGGAGCCACATCAGTCTTATCACAGCACTGAGGTGTTAAGAGTCGGTTTTCAAGCCTAAGCCTGCACTCTTAGAAAAGATGGTTCTTCAAGGGTTTTTCAGGGAAAAATGGTTCTCTATAAAACCATGAACACTCAGAGAACCATTTGCACGATTAAAGGGTTCTTTGCATTATGAAAGGGTTCTTCAGATTGATGGAGAATGTTGTATATTGTTCTATATAAACTCTTTTCAAAAAAGATTCAAAAAAAGGTTCTTCTAAAGGTTCATCGTAACAATAGCATAACCCTTTTTGGTCCTATATAGAACACTTTTCAAAAAGGTTCTATATAGAACCATCTACAGCACCTTCTCCATTGATCTGGGGAACCATTTCATGATGCAAAGGGTTCTTTGAGTGTTCATGGTTTATATAGAACCATTATCTTTACTAAAGAACCCTTGAAGGACCATCTTTTTAAGACTGTAGGCTAACAGCACTGTATCAACACTTACACTGTCATTTAAACTAACACTAGGCTTACTGCTCGTCTGTGAGCCCGTCAGTTCTTCACGCTAAGCAGTAGGCGTTAGGTGCACTTACTTTGCGTAACTTGCCCGATTCATCCACTTCCCTCTCCAGGGAGGGTATGGACACCTCCAGCATCGCCCCGGACTCCGAACACAGCCCTCCGCTCTCACAGCTCCACAACCACAGTGCTGTGCTGCCCGCCCGGGGTCACGACCTGTCCGCCAGCGGGTCACAGACTGTCTCTGGAAAATAAAGTGAGTAAAAATAAAGCACAGCCGAGCAGGTCACCTCAGCGCACAGGTCCGAGTCTCCACACACACACAGACAGAGAGAGCGAGAGAGCGGAGAACGAGCGCGTCCTGCAAAGCCCCGCCCACAACACACCGAGCAGCGCGCTGATTGGTGGAGCTCTCACAGCGCTGTAAACAACCGAAAGGTTTACCAGCGTTAAAAGTGATCAACAGAACTGAAGTGAATGCTTTAATTCTTTAATAACTTACAGAAATCAGGAATAAAAATGAGCTTTACGTGCCACGTGACAATCAAGCGCGGCCTGATGAAGCAGAATTGCTCATTCATTATTCGAAATAGCGACTTCTTCGTCGTATCTGTAAGCTATTGCTTAAAACAAATCGGTTTGTGTCCGATCATGAGGTGATCATGAGGACTGCTGTGACTAACACTGCTCATGCTGAAGCAGCTATTTCATTCACGTCAATGACTGAGTGGCCAAAATGTCAGTCTAAAAAAAAATAATTCTAATAGATGTTCACACATCGTAACTAAGGAAAAACTCAAAAAAAGAAAAAAAAATTCCAGAAATCTTGCACAACTTAATCTAAAGGGGAAATAAACAGTATTTTCCTTCTCTCCCCAAGTTTATAAGGTCTCTGACACCAAATGCTCTGCTGTTTGGGAGCTGCTTCCTCTCTCCTTAACCACTGCAAGGGAAGCTACAGGACTGCTCGGAGGTCAGCTCTTAATGCCTTCTCTCATTCATTTACACACATCACATGATATGTTGTAACACTCAGCCATTGATTCATTTTCCTGCTGACTACAGACACTTGTCAGCATATGAGCAGCCTCTGCTTACAGACTCCAGTGCCCTTCCCACAGCAATAACACTATAAAAGTACTCTAATATGTATTTATACCATTTCAGAACTGCACAAAGGCAACTTCAGCAGGTATGAATAAAGCTCTTTTTTTAATGTTTAGGTTATGTCCCACAGCTCTGTTGAGTACTTAAAGTGGCTGAATTTACCAAGCAAATCAGACAGGGCCAGGCATCGGTTAAAATTAGAACATCACTATGTTGCATAAGTATAACAGAGAGAGAGAGAGAGAGAGAGAGAGAGAGAGAGAGAGAGAGAGAGAGACCATATCCTCCAAAGTAAGAACATCAGCAAACTGACCATGTGCAGACGGGGCAAAGAGGAAGTTTGCAAAGGTTAAGGACATAGTCCAAGAGACTCTCTCTCTCTCTCTCTCTCTCAAACACACACACACACACACACACACACATAACCTGACTCCTTCAGTAGTACAAGCCTTATCAGGCGCCCTGTATACAGTAATTACATGAACAAAGATGTCTATCTTCATGTGTAAATAAAACACTACACATTAGTGAGCCAGTGAGGTTTTAAAGAAACAAGTAGGCCAAAGCCACTGTGTATGGATACACCCTTAAAAAGGAGTGGCTCTTCAGAGGTTCTTTCATATGGCTCATATCCTGGAGAAGCAAATGTTCCCTGATTTTATAAAAATAAATAAAGTTTGATCTAGTATGCAAATTTCCAAGTTGTATGATAAAGTTTCAAAACATGTTCATACAGTCAACATATAGAAACTACAGACCACCCCTTTAATTCACTGATCTTGTGATGTCACAAAAACAAATACATTTACATATATATATACCTATTCAGCCTTAAGCAGTTTAGCCTCAGCCATTCACACTGAAGTTATAGCAAGAGTTTCAGCTTGGACTGTTTTTTTAAAGTGAGGCACATTACAAGGCAGCCAATGAGAAGAGAGCTTGTTTACATATAATATCTTAAAGGCACAATAACAAAAACAGCCTGTTTAAATCTAAGGGACAATGAGAGGGTGGAAAAATAGCCATGTGTAAGTGGATTAAGTGTGTTCATGGTACATAAAACCACACATAATAAGTGGACCTTGAAAAATGTAGTGTATGGGCCCTTTCAACGATTCCTCTGTGATGGAGAAAGTGCTGGATGGTTCTTTGAAGCATCATTTGTAGCACCACATAAGGCTCTACTTTACAACTCAAAGAAACTTTGAATCTATATGGTAAATGGAGCTGATAAAATGGACAAGAGTGTAAAAAAAGGAGGCTATATGTTATGGCTAATCTGTGTACTTCTGTGAATGACTTGTCAATAAAAGCTAGCGATACTGTGCTGTCACTGCAAGCTAAAACAGACTGGCTGTTGGAGTGGATATGTGTGCACCAGCACGGAGTTTTATCTAAAAAAAAAAGTCTCTGGCAGTGTGACTCAGCACTTAGCCAAGCAGCTAGTCTGACAGCTAACTTCACCCCCTTTTATTTATATGAGGTATGTGGCAACAAGTAAATTAACTAGTTTTATTCAACCTTAATAAATACTCTGAATGAATGATTCAATTTCAATTAAAGTAATTTTTGAGTTGAATAAAAATAGTTCAATTGCTTGTTACCACATGAAGTAATTTTTTTAAGTAGATCTGACGAGCCACTTTTTACAGTGATTACATGATTATCGCCTTTCTACTCTAAAAAGCTGGAGTATTAACTTCTTAGAAAAAGGCTGCTGCCTGCAGCAGACCGTTCAGTTGTCACATATAAGAACATATTTCTGTCTATTAGTGTTATTTTGGAAGTTGCAAGAGTGGCCAGATATTTGCAATTGTTGTTCCCACACTTTTGAAACTAATTAAACCCAAATAAATTGTTGCTTTGTATAGTTATAGCTAGTAACATTAAATAGAAAGAAGCACTAACCTGCCCTGATAATGTTACAAATGCAGCTTACTGTATTACCATTTGCTGATTTATGCTACGTTATTAATAGTCTTTCTTATTTCTGCTTAATTATCATCACATCTATCGTTATTGCTAAAATATTTTTTGCAACCTGCAGATCAGAACTCAAGTGACAGACAATGGAAAGGAAAATAACTGCCAGTGTAACAAGCAATAAGACTGAATTTCTAACCTGATTATGTACATTGACTTAAAGCATCATGACAATACAAGAACATTAATTGCACTTTGTTTACCTAATTTTATGTTTATATTGCTGTATGTTGGCTATTGCCTCCTGATGTTGGACCCCATCACTTGTCAGACCATATTTCTGCCCCTGCCTACAAGCGTAAAGTCTTGAATTCTGCAGCTTTGCAATGTGGATGAGTGCTCAAACCCCTTCACACCAGTGTGTTTAAACTTGAGCCCTCCTCAGTGGAAGTGTGACAGCACATTTGCACAGCGTTGTTGGAGAACAGGAATTTTTCCACATGAGCAAACAGCCAAAGTGGTGTTGCCATTTTGCCCACCTCAAACAATTCTGGGACCACTGAAACACAAGGAGAACACCATATACAGTACACAACGCAGATAAGAACTTTACAGGGCTTTATTTGCAGAGATGTCTGTTCACAAGTATTAAGTCTTAATTTTTAGCCCAGTTTACAGTAGCAGCTGCAGGGCTGAATAACAATTTGAATGCTTCTGTAGTTGTTATCCAGCAGTTTAACCAACCACGAGAGCTCACTGAGATCAAACAAGCCTTAGTCTCCTTCCAGAGCAACGAAGAACAAAATCATATGGTAGAGACACACGAAGGTTGGGGCTGTATAATTTTTTAAATTGCACATATTGAAACAGAAGGATCCCAGGATCAGTTCCCTCTTCGCAGTGATGTGGAACATTCCCTTGTCACACAGAGGAACAAGAGCCAACTGAAAGTGTTTCAGTTCTGTATATTAATTACATACTTTTACTGGCCACTTTATTAGAAGCCACTACCTTGCTTATGTTTACAAACTGTAGCCTGTTATACACAGTTTGTGTTAGTCATCTGTCTAGCCCTTCATTAATGGTCAGTTTCTGACCACAGAGCTGCTTCTGGCTGGCTATTTTTGGGTGGACCATGTTCAACCTAGCAGTGACACTGATGTGTGCAAAAAAAAAACCCCAAACAACTCGTGACTTGTGCCAACACCAGCTGAGTGGATAAGATTGGACGTTCACTGTATATTCTTATTTATTGTTTTATTATCTGTACTTTAACATTGCTAAAATGTTTCTCCTGATCAAAATGAATGAAGTACCAAATAGGTATCCATTCTCATGTAGGTCATATTCAGTGCCCTTCACAAATATTGGCACCCCGGTGATCACGTGCAAAATGCACCTTTATTTAAGGTAGAATGAGTGAAAGAAAAAAAATAGTCATAAAATATTTTTTTTTCTTATCTTTCTCTTCCAAAGGTTAGAGGTTAGATTTTTTTAATATTTTGACTGAACGATCAAAATGATAAACAATAATAGTTGTGAAGGGCGCACACACACATATAAATAATTACTATGTTCACTATAGACAAAAGTATTGGGACATACCTCTTAATCATTGAATTCAGGTGTTTCATTCAGTCCCATTGCCACAGGTGTGTAAAACTGAGCACCTAGCCATGCAGTCTGCCTTTTCAAACATTTGTGAAAGAATACGTCCTTCTAAAGAGCTCACTACATGGTACTGTGATAGGACACCACCATTGCAACAAGTCAGTTCGTGAAAATTTCTTCCCTCATAGATATTCCACTGAAAGTGTTTAGGAACCACAGCAGCTCAGCCATGAAAAGGCAGACCACATGAAGTTACAGAGCGGGTCACTGAATGCTGAGGCACATAGTGCATAAAAGTCACCAACGCTCTTCTGACTCAATAACTGCACAGTTTCAAATCTCCTCTGGCATTAACATCAGCTGTGCACCGGGAGCTTCATGGCATGGGTTTTTATGGCTGAGCAGCTGCATGCAAGCCTTACATCACCAAGCACAATGCCAAGCGTCAGATGGAGTGGTGTAAAGCCACTGGACTCTGGAGCAGTGGAAATGTATTCTGTGAAGTGATGAATCTCACTTCTCTATCTGGCAGTCTGATGGATGAGTCTGGGTTTAGCAAATGCCAGGAGAATGCTACCTTCCTGACTGCTGCAAAGTTTGGTAGAGGAGGGATAATGATATGGGGTTGTTTTTCAGGGGTCGGCCTAGACCCCTTAGTTCTAGTGAAGGGAAATCTTAATGCTTCAGCAAACCAAGACATTTTGGACAATTGTTTGCTTCCAACTTTGTGAGAAAATTTGGGGGAAAAGTCCTTTTCTGTTCCAGCATGACTGAGCCCCAGTGCACAAAGCAAGGCCCATAAAGGCTGGGTGAGTCTGGTGTGGGAAAACATGACTGGCCCTCACAGAGCCCTGACCTCAACTCCATCCAACACCTTTGGGATGAACTAGAATGGAGATTGTGAGCCAGGCCCTCTCGTCCATTGTCTTGTCTGACCTCACAAATGCTCCTCTGGATGAACGGGCAAAAATTCCCCCAGCCACACTCCAAAATCTTGTAGAAAGCTTCCCACCACAGTGGAAGCTGTTATAGCTGCAAAGGAAGTCCAAGTCCATACTAATCCTATAGATTTAGAATTGGATGTTATAAAAGCTCCTGCAGGTGTAATGTATGTCCCAATACTTTTGCCCATATAGTGCATATATAAATAATGCCAGTTTTTTCCTCTTTTAAATTATTTAATTCTATAGTTGTAAACTGTAAACTTTTTTGTTTACAACTGTAAACTTCTGAATGGTAACATCTGAGTAGGAAACACAGTCACAGCAGACAGAGAACTAGAGTATCTTTAAAACTATTTTTATTGTGTTGCCCAACAGAAGGTGCGCTTAAACAATATCTACTGGCTGGGTTGGAAGATTAAAAAAATACAGTCTAATAAAGAAAATGTCACTTTCTGATCATTTATGGCAGTTAAAGGGACTATCATGCCAGACTCATGAGAAGGACCCTCAGATTGTGGTCCATAAGGGTCCCCTCATGCATTCCTGACACTACTATCTGGAGACACAAGCCTGAAACAAGGAAAAAAAATCCCAACCCACTTTATGAACCGGTGGAAGGAGACAATTATCTTCAAATACAAGGTCAGCTGTAAGCTCAGCAGCATCTGAGAAACCGATGACTGTCGAACACCATTATTGATTATTACAGGTACAGAGATATACAACAAATACCATGATTATCAAAATCATTTCTGGGGAAAGAAAAAGTGATGTTTAAAAAAAAAAATTCAATAATTGTTTGTTGGCATAAACTACACAAATGATGGCCATAAGATTTATGACGCTTAACGCAAAGCAGAGACAGTATTGTGGAGATGCAACAACCAGGGAACTCCAGTCAATCACTGGCTGGCAGTTTAAGTGCTTAAACATGTTTCAACCTCAACACTTCTCTTTCAAAATGTACTTTGTTAAACTGACAGCTATAACATTTGTAGAGTTTGAAGGTTTAACTGCATAACTAATAAATGAAGTTTAAGTCCAGCCTGTGTGAATCATGATTAGTTCCCAAATATGACCTCTGTACCTCCAAAGTGTGGAATGTCACCTGCATGATCAGGTAAAAGCCATTAGATGTTGATATTCAGGTTTATAATGTAGGTAATATTGTAGGTACTGGACTAAGTGAAAAAAACGGAGCACTGCTAAAGTGAAAAACTAAATGAGGGCCTCTCAAAAGTGGTATTATAGTAGATGCTTTTCTCTTAACCACTCCATTTTGGCTTTAAGGTAAACCGATGCACAGAAACGCAACTCGTAGAATCCATGGTCACTCTTGTGGGACTCTATATCTGATTAGCTGACAAATGTGACATCCAGTAAAAGAGTGATGCAGCATTTCATCATCCACTCACCATTCCAAGGCAACTGATGGAACCCACCTTGTTCTGAGAAAGCGGTTTTGGCTTGTCTTTACTTGCAGTTTCATTTTAAGCAACTACACATTTCCTAATATGTAACCTCCCACTCCTTGGAATCATTTCACTGAATCATTCTTAAATGTTGAGGCGGCCCAGTTCCTCAAAGTGTGAGCAAGCGCCCTCTCGTTGACACTTCTCCCTCATTAAAGCAGATTCTGGATAACACTAGGCATGTGGAGTAGCACAGAGGGAGAAGACCAACCTCTGTGCGTTTTGAACACACCCAGATATATCAGGGAAAACAGAATGGAAGTGAAACCTAGTTAAGTGCATGTGTGGAAGGAGAGGGCCCCCTACTGTAAACGATTAGCACTGCTGATGAGTCAAATATCAAGAGTGCAACATGCCTCCCTCTGTGTGGTGTGAATACTATTCACACTAATGGCACCTACTATCTCTGAACATTAACATAAAAACAAAACCAAAACAAAAATAAATTTGCATACACATGAGGAAGACAACACCCACCCCACCACCATGCATGTACATCCCCTAGCAATAGCTTTGTCAATACGAAAATATAGGTGGAGGTTAAATGAAAAATATACAATTATTAATACAACTGTTAGAGTAAAGAGCTGTAAGTTTCTGGTGATTAATTAAAAAACAAAAAAACCCACAACTATCGATTGTTTCTCTCTTTCCCTTTGCAACGCATCTCTTCTCTTGGTTTATAGGCAAGAGGTAAAGTGTATAGAAAAGGCAGACTCAGTCTTAAGCAGGCCTGTGTATGTGTGTATCTGTGGGGTCACACTCATGCGATTGCTTTCGCCTCCGGCAAAAACGCCTCCCAGTACTTTATCAGCTGGAAGAGAGGAAGAAAGAACAATAATAATCATTCACACACATTTATTCACAGCAACCAACAAGTTATATCTTCAAAATAGCACATCAGACATACAGAAAACTTTTTAGACAATGTTACCTGTTGTTGTGATTGTAGCAGAGACTCCAGATAGCGAATAATTTGCTTCTTGAAATCCCGAGATTTCTCTTTCTGTTACAATAAAAGCCCAAGTACAACCATCACCTCATCATCTGTGATTACAGCTAACTAGTATACAGGGATGCAACAACATTGGGATTGTGGGCTGATGCTGATATCTAATATTTTAGTACATATCTGCAGATGCATAAATAAATATAAAAGTAACTATAAACAGCAAAAATTAGGACTAATTCTACCTAGATTAGCATTCTGGAAAAATTTAGCATTTATTCCTATAAGCCTACAAATGCTTATAACCTAAAGGTTGACCATTTCCAATGTCGATACTGTGATTCTAATCTCATCATGCATCGCATCACATCACACACAAACACACACACACACACACACACAGTCATGCTGCATGCCTACCTCAAACCTGATGACCTCTTTGCGTACGGTGGCAGAAACCCTCTCAAAATCTCTTTCGTATTGACTGACCTTGGCCTCCCACTGCAACACAAAACTCCAATAATCACATCAGACCTCTCGAGAGGTACCAAGTAAAGTTACAAAAATAGCTGTTTCAATCAGCATCACACTCTCATGTGCTAAAAGATGATGATGCATGTATGAATGAAGGTATGGATGATAAACTGGATCTGCCCCTGTTCTTACAGCTCTCAATGCAAATCTTGCATCGTAGTACTGAGGGTGTTTCAATGTAAGCATACATGTAGACTCAAGAAACCACTCATGCAAACTCTTCAATTTTTTTCAAACTGTGAAGGGCGAGGAGTATAAGCAGTCAAATGGAACTATTTGGGGCAAGTCATCTTTATCTTACTTCATTTACGAGTAAATGAGCAGGATTCATGAGCTATTTTGGGCAGGATGGGTAAAATAAGGTAAGTGGTAATGGTTAATTTTGAAAATGGACAAGATTTGAACAAAAACCCCGACAGCTTAACAATTTAGGTGCTTTTTGTGTCGCAAGTCAAATTCCTCTCTAAAGTGCAACAAATTCAACAAGCAGAGTACAAAAAATTTTAAGTACAAATTAAAATGTTGGTTCTGATCAGGAATCAGGTTTAAAAAAATAAATAAATAAATAAAAAGAAAAGTTACTGCTGACTGCTTTTTCAGCGAATCTACCCTTGTTTCTGTAAAACACAAAACCAGATGACTGTTCTAGGCAGCCCAGCTGTGTTGTGTGTGGTTTGTCCTTCGGGTCAGTGTTACCTCAACAATTTCGTCCTTGGCCTGCTGTAGTTTGTCTGGTTTGTTGGCCCACAGTAGCTTAGCCTCGGTCTCTCTCTTTTTCTGCAGCATGTTCTGAGCGTCCTGCCATCGCTGCCACGCCTTCATCCTCTGGTCAAAGGAAGCCTGGGCAGGCACACATGCACACACATGGTTTGAGCTAGAGCACACTAGGTCGGTTTCTGGACCACAGACCTATTTTATGTACTATGACAGTCCCCCATGTCCAGCTCTCAGAAAGCAGAACACACACTAAAAAAGGCTTTGGCTGCAAAGTGCTAAAATTCACAGGACTTGTAAATCTGGGACAAGAGGTTTGTCGGTGTAGATAAAGTTCACAGACATTTCATAGTCCATTTTAACTGAACTTAGGTGTGTGTTTTGGTATATATGAGCCTCCATACCCTGACAGCCCCTAGCAGGCGTACGTAGTCAGCAAGGAGCTCAGCAAAGATGAAGAAGTCGTTAGAGGCCTGGTCCTGATGAAGCTGCTCGATGCGATCTTCCACCTCAGCCAGCTGGGACAGAGCTCTGGAGAGTGCAGTGTTATCCTCTGAGCTGCCCAACATCGCCACACTCTTAGCAAACACTGCTGTGCTCACGGACAACTCTGCAACCAAACAACACACGTTAGTTAACACTTGTTTTCACTATTCGACTCTGTGATGCTGAGCATATGAGTAAGCACTGATGTTAGGGCTGTGTTCAAAATAACAATATGGCAAATATATCGAGGATAAACTTGTGGTGATAAGTGCATCAATACATTGTGCTTGTCCCTTAAAACTAAAAAGCTTTGCTACACACGTCTTCATTTCTCCTTGTTTACTTGCTCTATTTTCTTCTTTCGCACACTCAGTTTTCACTGTTTGCTGGAGGAGTCCCTTTAGATTGAGTCGCTGACCAGCATACTTACAGACACACAGACATACTACACACTTGTAGAGCTGACTCGTTTTGTAGCACTGTTAAAAAACTAACACGCGTTAGTGAACATTTTTGTTGTTCACTGATTGTTTTGCAGCAACAAATGCTCTCACACATGCATGTGTCCAAATACTGACTATGGCCTTGGTGATTAAAAGCGCAGAAAGTTGACTCCTATGCCTGTCTGTGCTCTGACCAGGTCTCTTGCTCCTGTTTAAAACTTACCATAAACCTTTTAGCTAAATATTAACAGAAAAAATGTCATGATCATTCTCCCCAAGCTTATTTATTTATTCATTACTACAATTTTTCAAATTTTAAGGTTATTAGTGACCAGAAGTGTCTGTTTTGTCATCATATTGCTTTGTAAGGTGCTGCTCGTATTGTGACAGGTATCATATTGCGAAATTGCTGACAATATCCAGCCCAAACTGATACCACAAGCCTATCCACAACCCTGTAAAGATACCTGAAATGAAAAAGCAGTCACAACTACCTTTCCTGTGGTTGACAAGAGACTCCACCATGGCATGCAGCTTCTTTAGCTGCTGATCCTCACTCTCAACCTCCTGTAGCTTCTCCTCAAACCACTGAAAACACACACGCATACACATATTAACACACACAGTCACTTATAATTAGGGATGCATCAATACTGATACTGGTATCAGGTATCAGCCTGATACTATGCTCATCTACTCATACCCATAAAAAGGTACCGAAACCAACATCCGGTGCTACCGGATACCATGTGGCGTAAGCATAGATTAATTGTTAAGGTACACTGTGCTCATTTACACTAACAACGTCTTAATGCTAAGTATGTTACTGAGTGTGTATTGACATAGTTATTAGCAAGTACTAAAAACATTTACTTGTACTTGACCTGAAAAAAAAAATTGTTTGGATGCATCCCTACTTATAAACATATTAAACCTCTGGTGCAAAGAAAAAATATGGTTTTAAGGCCTCATTCAGTGGTATCCACATATATTTGAAAATTTGTTTTTCCTGTGCTTAAAGCAGTTTCAGCATTTTCAAGTGGACAGGCAAAACACAGCTTTTTGAAAACTCTGATATCACGCTCTTGACTTGCACTGCTCTGCAATTTGGAGGCTGATAACATGCTTTTAACTAAATGTAGCGTTCCTTTTTCATTACAGCATCATGCTGAGGCATCAGGATCCACAGCGATCAGTTCTTTTGAACAGGGTGTGAGCTTGATTATAAACATTAAACATCGCAATGATTCTAAAGATGTGTGGCTAAGATTCTGTGATCATTAATCAGACTTTGTGAGAAATAACCAAAGTCAGATTTTGAGAGAGAAAAAAAAAAAATCATAATGGAGTTACCAGTACCAGAAAAACTTCTCTGCTTTACCAGGACCCTGAATGTTTCACGACCATGGCAACATAAACATCCCCATGGCAGAAAGCATGTTTTTTCTGCTTTTTCAAGTATTTACTTTATTGTCAGAAACTGGACTTTGAACATTACATATTAAATTACAGAGGTCTGACGGCAGGCATTAAGTCAAACAAGCCTATTGTGACTGCAGCATGGTGCAGTCACTTTGTCATCATCTATGTTACGTGACATGCATAGTCGTAATGTTCTTGAAGTTAATGAAATCAAATTTTATCTGGTTATATAATCCCTTTTGAGCTGGCATGCTTATGTGAGTGTTTGAGTAATTTTTGCATTTGTGAAGACGGAGACATTTCTGAAAACAAGATACCCAGTTATGTGTGGACGAGGCCAAAGAAAGGCTTCTAACAAGCTTTAAGGGAGTCTAGAATGAGTTTTCTGTCAGATGCAGACAGCGTTACTTACAACATCCGATTCGTTCATTTTGATCGTCATCTTGCTCACTGCGTCTGTTGCCTTGTTGATCATCTTCAGGAATCCAGCTCCGCTCAGCGCTTGTGTACTAACTGCTCTGGGTAACTAACAGAACACACACACACACGCGTGCGCATCATTATGGTAAGGCCTCACATAAACCTTTCTACTCTCTAGCTTTAAGGCATTTCAGAGATAATTAGCAACATCAGGGAGAGCATTACCTCCTCTTTCTCTAAAAACTCTCTCACATCTGGGTCCTGCAGCAGAGACGGATGTGACACGACTCTCTGGAGGTACCTGAGGACCACATGTGTGAGACACATACAAGATACATATATAAGAAAATTTTTCCATCAATTTGATAAACATCAATCTCTGTCCTCACTCAAAGAAAAAAAAATAAACTAGTTATAAAAAAGAAAAAGAGAAATTGCTCAGTGAATGACCTTTCGAGAGCAGCTCTCCTCCTCTCAACAAACTCAGCTGATGAGGGGTCCTCTTTACCAACCTTCACTTTCGTCATTCCTATTCAAAATCAACACATATCTAGTGTCAAATTCAAACTGACCTTAAAGGGTCATTTCATTTTCCCCCCCAGAGATTCCCTTATGATGTTTGCATGGTTTTCAAAAAGGTAACAATTTATTCTTAGATTTTAGACCTTCTCATTATTCCTTAGTAATCAAACAGGCTGTTTTAGTGACTGTGCTCAAGACTGATATATGTAAATGCTATGTTCTGACTGGCTGTCCTCTCTTGCACCTTATTCAAAAAGCAGTCCAAGCTGAAACACTCCTAACTTCTGTGTGAATGGGCAGGGTTAAACTACTGTATAGGCTATATATAGCCGGATATATGTTAATGTATTTGTTTTTTGTGACACCACAAAAACAATGAATTCACTGTTTTTGCAACCTAGTTTCTATATATGGACGTGTGGGTGAACATTCTGTTTATGTAAATTTAACAATGTTTACATACTGCATAGGTCTTTTATTGCAACAAAGTGAAGGAAATTCAGTTTTACATGATATGGCCCTTTCACAGACATATAATTATGGAATCTGTTTCATTTGAAAGTTCCCCTAAAAAGTCCTTACCCAGAATGCTCTTCTCTGGTGGTGGGGGCACAATATATCCGTTCTGTGCGTGTTTCTCAGAGAGCTTCTCATACAGACCAAGGAAATCACTGAAGCGCCTACGCACTGTGAACTGCTTACTGCGGAACATGGACAGCGATGTCTGTGTAAGAGAAGCAGAGCCAGCATTGGAGTGACACAGGTATATTATATGCAGCTCAGTGTAAGAGCAGACAACATACAGCTTGGACTGTCTGCAGTCTGCTTGAAACCATCATATGAAAAGAACACAACATGCACAAGTGCATTAATGTAAAATGCTTGAGAAAATACCTGTGTTGAGACTTTGTAGGCCATATAGGCGTTCATACCATCACCTGCAAGGAGGGGGCCACAGTGAGTAAATCTAAATGCTCAACACATATCAGAACTTCTCTGACACAGTTACACTACTGAGATGTCCATGGACTTATTTACTGCAGATTAATACACTCATAAAAGGTCACTGTAACAGATATCACCAAGACTATAGAGGATACAAGAGGACATAACAGCTCAACAACAGTGGCCTACTTTCACCCTCAGAGGGATGGAGGCAGGAAATATAAACTAGCTGCCATAAGGCAAAAGGGGAAGTGACATGTGCTCAGAGTTTCTGTTGACCATTGTGTTGCGGTCACATAAATCAAACAATTAAACTGTCCACGGGTTAATGTTTATATTTCCCTTCACGCACCAAAGGGTCAACTGTCAAAAATAGCTTACTGTCATGTGTGGCTCTGACACTGTGCTTAGGCAAATAATTTCCTTAGAGGTAAGCCAAGAGGAACGGTGGGGGATGGACTTACCAACTTTCTCTGGGTTTGTGACTGAAATGTTCAAATCAAATGTGTCCTCTTTCTCCTCCTCCTCCAGCTGTAGTATGAGTAATGTAAGAGTGTGTACGAGAAGGGAGAGTGAGAGAGAGAGAGAGAGAGAGAGAGAGAGAGAAATACATTTGGTAATCCAATTTATGAAAGCTCAAAAAGTTAAATAGTTTTCCAGTTACCGCAAACATAGTCCATCAGCCAAAAAAAAACAAAAAAAAACAAATTTAGCTTCTTTAGTGCCGGCGCTATGAGGCTAACATTGCTAACAAATGAAAGAAGTTAAAAGTCACTCAAATCTTTTTCGTAAATACATTCACAAAATTTCTCTCAACCAGCTCAAACCGTATCCAGGCTTTCATTAAGGTCACACAGCTTGACTTACTGTGAACTACAGAAAAAACAAAACTTCGCCATGTAACTTCACATCGCAGGCAGCCACTTCGGTCATCATATGTTGTGCCAAATTCTGACTTCACATTCACGTGCATCACATGGACACACAGATGGTAGACTGTATTCCCAAGTAGCATTGTTAATACTTTTAAACATATGTTCAGTTTGGAAATTCAACATTAATAATTATTTATAATTAGAAACAACAGAAGTTACAAATGTAAATCTGTAGCGTCCATATGCCTGCATAACGTACATGCACTTAAATAGGAGGTTGTTGTTTCAAATGGATGGCCACTGTGTTTAGCCAAATGTGAAGTTTTGTTCCAAAGTCATACAGTGCCTGAAACCTCTTCAACAAGTCTGTGTGACCTGGATCTGGTTTGAGTGGGCTGAAAGAAATTTTGGTGATGTATTTAAAGAAAAGATTTTGTGACTATTGACTTCACGATTGTTAGCAATGTTAATCTTGTAGCTCTAGAGCTGAACTAAAGGAGGATCAAACACGTTTTGGCTGATCAGCCACATCTGGCTAAGTGATTTTTCACCTTTCCTTACATGCCAGTATAGCATCACTATCAATAGCGTTTGTGCATGTCTGCATGTGTTGCGCTTGTACAGAAAGTGAGAAAACTGATCCTAGATCGACTCACTGGTTAAGCCATTATGTGTTTAAGTAGAGTGGAATCTAATCTCACACCACGCTCTGAGTGCCATTATGAGAGGTGGGTTGGTCTGGATTTCATACCTCTTCTAGTGTTTTAGGCTGAGGTTTGGAGGTGCTGGCTGAGGCCGAGAGAGAGGGAGCTGGCGCTGAGGGCTTTGCTGCTTCTCTCTTCCTTCGGTCATTATGAGGGCTGTCCAGAGACAGCTCAACCGTAGCCTCTGAGAGGGAGGGAGAGGGAAGGAGAGGGAAGGGGGAAAAAAAGGAGAAGGATTTTTGAAAATTCAAATGATTCAATGCCTCAGTTCCCTGGAAGGAGAACGCATCAGACCATCTCCAACATAAAAGGCAAGAGAATAACACTACTGAGAAACACAAAGCAAATAACACCATCTCATGCAATCACCACACCAGCAAGTGTTATGTTTACTTCCTATATGACCATGAAGGTTCATGCACCCTTACACACATTCGTTGGAGCTAAATGCTTTCATCAGCACAGTGAGGGCCAGGTCAGTGTGGAGGAAGTTTCTCCTGCTCTTCCTGAACTCAAAGAAACGTGCTGAAGTTGCATTTCCTTTACAACCTCTACAGGAGGGGCTGCGCACTTACTTTCTCCCTTTTTCACACACATACACACCACACACACATCTATAAGCACCACAAGAAAGGATTAGAAAAGCAATCCTAAAATAAAAAAGGAACGCGAGTTCAATGTGTCAAAGACAATTAAAAGGCTACCAACGCTGCATACCTGCAAACAGATCTTCTTCATCAGAGTGTAATCCGTTGGTCTTTGAGCTGGTGTTCACGTTGGATTTTGCTGCAGCGGGAGCAGAAGCAGCAGCAACAGGTGGGACTGTGAAGGCCTCCTCAGTGAAAAGATCAGCTGCAGCATTATTAGACTGCTCAGGTCGGGCTGCCTTTAACTCCGATTTTGCCTCGGTGAAGAGCGATCCTTGTGGTTTCTTAGTCACAGCTCCCAGGGGCTCCTTAAACAAGTCCTCATCGTCATCATCACCAAACAGGTCAGCGCTTGCTGGTTTCTTTCCAGGTGCAGTGCCACCTTTAACGTCAGTGGGCAGGTCTTTAGCAGCACCTTTCGGAGGCTCTTCAAAAATGTCCTTCTGAGACTTTTTGATGACGTCATTTTGAGGTGCGCTGAGGACCTCCGTACTGGCGTCATCCTTCCCTGCACTCTTCTTGATGACATCGCTCTTTGGTGGTTGCTCACCAAGGTCCAGTAAAGGTGCACTTTTTGCATCAGTCACTGGTGCAGCTCCAGACTCGCCTAAAGGATCACTGAACAGATCATCCGGCTCCTCACCAGCAGCCTCTTTCACAGGGACAGCAGCCTGAACTTTACTAAGCCCTCCACTCGCTGCCTTCTCTGGTTCAGCACTCGTCTTATTCAGTGGGTCCTTGAAGGAATCTGCTGGGGGTTCGCTGAAGATGTCTTTAGGAGGCTCACTGGAGCTCACAGGAAGTGGAGGATCCATCGGAGAGTCAGAGAGTGTCTGTAGGAAACACAGTCAGTGTCTTAATTTAAAATAACCCAAAATGATAACATTAGGCTTTGCTTTTGTACTATTATGCTCAAACTACTAAGCCTTGTATGATGGAATGAGAAGGATTCACCCGAAAAAGAAAACATGATTCAAACACATCCCTTCAAAACTGTCACAACAAGACTTAGACGTGTAACATACACTCAGCAGAGCTTACAGGAAACCCGAAAACAGAGCTGTATAAACTAAAATTAGTAAATCGTTTCAACACTCCTGGCTAAGCTGCACATTGTGTTTCAACTATCCGGGCTCTTCCTGAATGAAAAACAGCAGTTGCAGCGTGTGAGCACATCTGAAGCTCACATGACCCGGACCTCAGCCAGCTTCACCAGATCTGTGGACATGACGAGAGAACTTTGGCCATTCACTTCCCACCGCCTCTGCAAACCACTACGCCCAGGTACTGAGTCACTTAACTGGCAACAGGCTTGCAGGAATACTTGAGAAGAGGGAAAGGAAACGCATTTTGCTGAACAAGAAACTGTACACACTCGTTTCTTCATAAATCACCGACGTCTGAGAAATCTCTGATTGCTCAGCATAATTCTGGACTGCGCTACTGGTCATCTGTTGCACGCAGTCCAGTCTCGAAGTAAAACCATTTAAAGAAACAACAGGCCTGGAATGATTAAGGGACAATTCAAGTTCATAAGTGATTTACAAAGAAAAGCAAATATGGGGCAACCAGTTGCTCAGCTTTGGGACCTCTGGTCCTGATAAACAGGACACTGTTTGCACTGCCAGGGTCACATTCCTAACCACAAATCCTACAAATGATGGTGTTTGTACTCTGCAGGGCCAAAAAGGCCACGAAAAACTGGCGGCGGTAACTTAGTTAACTAGCAACAGGGTCCCTCTTTGGGTCCAACAGCAACAGACTTCTGAGTAAATTCTCCAGAGATCGTCTTGCAAGACAGTTAAAACAAGTGGGAGTACAGGAGCGAGTAAGTTAGTTAGCTCGCTAAGTTACCTTATCAGCTAGCCAGCTCGCTATCCTTTAATTCATTTTCTTAAAAACACACCACGCCAGTGCTACAGACACAGCTAGGTTAGCTAACCCAAACGACGAAGTCAGTTTGAGGAAATGTGAGGCACACGGCTCCTCACTGGCGCTGCTGTGAGTGACATTACAAACACAGACAGACGGAGCGGCTCTCGTCCGTTGCTAACAGCTTAGCCGCCGCTGGAGGGTTTCTTCGGTTAGCAGGCAGAGCTAGCAGCAGTGAAAGTGAAGCGGAGCAGGAAGAGAGAGAGAGAGAGAGAGAGACAGAGACAAACAGAGAGAGAGAGAGAGAGGAGTTCGAGCCTAAAGTTTAGAGCCTCGGCTAACGTTACAGCTCCGTGTACCCGGCCTGCTCCAGAGCAGCACGGCTCTCTCTCAGCCACCCGCACGGTACTCACACCGCCTGTGAAAATATCCGCGCCTTCTTCGCTGTCCTCCTCATCCTCCTCTAAGTCGGGCTCCAGTTCCTGCTCCTCTGACTCGGGGAAGGGAGGGGGACTCCGCTCTGAACTGGCCGCCATCTTCACTCAGTCTGCAGTAGACGGGCGAGGAGGAGGAGGACACATAAAAACTTTGGTAAAGACGGGAAAAATCACTCGCAGGAGAGAGCGCCGCCTGCCGGCCGGAACTGCAGCTGCAGCGGCCTGCACCAGTCACACAGTCACAGGGGGCCACTGTGTGTACACAGAGTTTCTGAGTACAGGAGATCAGAGAGAAGTGAGAAATAATACGGTTTTCGGTTTTCAGATCATATTATTCGGGTAGTTATTATTTTAGTTGCCACGCATGCTGCAGTTACAGCCTCCTGGTTTTTATGCAGGCATAGACAGCAGAGGTAAACATCAGAGGAGTGTCCAGTCGGAGCGGAGGTCAGGGCGCATGGTTGGCGCTGACTGGACGTTGGAGTAGCTTAAGCACATTTCACTATGATACTGCTTTGACCCAGCTTACTAACTACTAAAGTTCCTGCATTAAATGATTAAACAGAAACAACTGAAACGTATGTTTTATCTTTTACATTACAGACCTTCACAAGTAGTGCAGACGTTCTCATACTAACATGAAAAGACAGTTTCCCAAGTCCCCTAAAACACGTACATAGATGCTGGCTGCGCCCCAATCTGCATACTGCGCACTTGTACTTGTGTTCTACCTAGAACGCTTAGCTCGAGTCGCGCACTCGGAGCGCAGTGAGAATTAGAGTGTGCTGCGCTTTTCTCAGCGCACTGGACTAGCTAGTGTACAAGTACACATAATGCTAAAAGGAGCACAGCCGCAGTTAAAGTCAACTGAGGAATCACCCACAATTCCGCGCTTTGTTTACAACTGCGAAGCTTCAGTGGCGGAAGTTTCAGGGTGGACTTTATGACCTGGTTCGCTCCCGAAACGTTTTTTTTTATCGCTGCATGTCGCTGATTCGCAAACCCCTTCAGCGATGCTGTGTGCAGCTACAGGAGGCGGAGCCAACGGCTGCGGCGTGATCGCGGTGTTAACCGCCACAGAGATCTGATCCTCCATGTCTCGACGGAGTCACGGAGACGAGGCGAGGCAGCCGCTGCTCGGCTCTCAGTCAGAGGACCCGGACAGAGACCCAGAAAACCACGGTAGGGGCTGAATTTAACACACTGTGGCGTCAGGGCACACTTAGGCTCCCATGATGCTTTGCTCGTGCTTAGCCGGGCTGTATTTAACTGAGTTCTTAAAACGGTGAGTAAATGTTTTCGGTTGCAGTTTCCAGCATGTGATGTTAGTGTGTAGCGTGTAAGTGAACTCTGGAGCAGTTCGGGTGGGGACTGTGTGAACCGCCGTCATCCAGGTTTGGGTTCTGATTCAGAACCACCGACGGGACTCAGGGAGCCCCACGATAGTACTGCATGTTCAAAGAACGTAAAAGTATGAAAATAAGAGGTGATTTAGAGTGGATCTATGTTGATTGTTGTTCTTATGTGTAATGTTTGTGCAGTAATATCATTTCTGAAGTACAGTGTTGTAAGAGGAGAGTCCAGCTCATTAGATATAGCACATTGGCGATAAGGACACCACACCGTTCATAAGACTACAGTGTTGTTGTTGATTAATCAAATAAGATACGCTGGCCGTCTAGTAAATAGTAAATAGTGTGATTTGTGTCCTTTTTTCAATGTATTACTTTTTCAGTAGCATAACAGGACAGCATGGGACTGTGATGTGTTCCCCCCCCCCTCAGCTGACTCTGCTAACTTGTATTTTGGAAACAGGTGATGCTCCCTCTGAGAGCAGTCCAGACTCCACTGATGACCGGAGCGGTGACCAGCCGAAGCTGAACTATGAGGAGGCTGTGGAGGAAGCAGGTGTGAGCAGGATTTCAGCTGAATTCTTGTATCTTCTGTAGAAGGTCTACGAGATAAAGCTTAAAGGGGAAATATGCAGATTCTTCTAAATGTCTGTATAATTCAGTGGTTGAGATGTAAACAAAGCCATTGAGAGTGTTTTTATGTGTAATGGGTTATTGTAGAGAAACTTACAGACTTGGATTTCTTTACATGGGTGGTAATGTCTGCAACCACCAGTGAAAATACACATCATCTGAGTTTTAATATGTAATGTTTATATTGATAAAAAAAAGTGCTAAATATGAAAAAAGTTTTTTTTGAATGGGGGGTGGGCACTACTTTGCCTTACAACACCCACCATGAATAATAAAAAAAAATGTTTTAGATCAAAACCTTACCACAGAACTGTCATAAAACAGTGTGTCAGGCATCAGGCAGTGTATTCATAACCATTTTGTGTATTAACTTTCTGTGAGGGAGCTTTTACAGGCTTTAAACGCTGCAGACCTCATCACCACCACTCTGAAAGGAGACATAAATAGTGTATAACAAACTTCAGTTCTTATGCTGATAGATGGCAGATGTATTAAGGAGTGTCACTGCAGTCCTATAGGGCACTAAGTTTTTTGAATTGGAAACTTTATTCTGCACTCCTACTCAAGTCACTTTGCGGTTGCTGCTTTTACTTGTGCATGAGTCATTGTTTTGCTGAAGTAACAGTCTTTTCTCCCTGATGTGATTACCACCCTCACTCACTCACACTGACCTTGCTCGTCCTTTACTCCATCCTCTGTTCTCAGGGTTCGGTCTGTTCCATGGCCTGCTGTTGCTGGTGTGTGGCTGGGCCAATGCCAGTGATGCAGTGGAGATACTGTGTGTGTCCTTCTTGCTGCCTACGGCCCGCTGTGACCTGCAGCTCAGCTCTGCAGATATGGGATTACTCACTGCCAGCATATTCCTCGGTCAGTCACAGAAAATTAGTCAGCAATCTGTTACATTTCAGACTTCCGTTTAATAGAGCAGTACATTTTATGTTGCTTGTTGGTCACGTGCTACTTGCCTATTGCAAGCTCAGTGTTACAAGTTGCAAGATTTAGCTTGAGGGTTTAACACGGTATAACCATAAAATGAGTTAAACATTTAACAGTGCCATGGCCAAGTTGTTCATACTCTTCAGCTGTTCAGCAGGTAGGCTAATCTACAGTCACCTGAGGTTGTGGTCGTGTTCAGCAGGAAAAACTGTGGCATAATATAGTAATAAGGTTAATTGCTCAGACAAGTGTAGCTGTTTTTCTTGTTAGATAAGTTTCATATCAGCTGTTTGTGCAGCCGATAAGATCAGACTAATAGAAAAAGTTTTTCATGTCTTTCTGGTGTGATCTGCACACTGTCTACGTCTTATTGAACGTCTTGCTGTGTTTCATTGCAGTCATGTTTCAGACACTGGAATGAAGGAAAAAAAAGGAAATGGTGACACTGGCTCATCAAATTTAGTTCTGCATTTAGCTAAGCTCACTCCTCATGACAGGAAAATGACCTAAAATGTGCATAGTAGATACTATTTAGTTCACTACTCGTACCCAGGTACAGTAACATGTTTATAATAACAAGGACTTTGTATCATAATTCAGTACATTTTATGGTTCCAACCAAATAGCTTCACTACTACCAAGTGTTTAAAAATTCTGTTCAGTACTGGACTTAAGTACCTCAGTAGTCAGTCTTAGCATCAGTGAACCAATAAGCATGCTTGTTCTGAAATCTAGACTGCAGATTAGCTGTCTAGATTACATTCTGTAAGCATGTTATTAACACCAGCACTGCTTTATTAATGAGGCAGTCTGTTACAGGTAGTAAATACACCCACAACCAGCACCTCACACTCACACTGTGTAATTTTGAAGAAGGTATTGAAAAGGTATAGTTCAGAAAGCAGTATAGAAATTAAGGTATTGATATTAGTGTCAGTATTGAAAATTTGCTGAATCCGGTTATCAGAATCTTTGAGAGCATCTAATTAGAGAAAGATATGATAGATTTGTCCATACTAAAACTAAAGTCTGCGTGACAGTAGCTCTGCAGGATCATAGGTACTTGGATTACAGTTGTAAGCAAAAGTTTGGGAACCCCTGGTCAAATCATGTTTGTTTAATTTTTAAGAGAAAATAAACAAATTCTCTACAGAAAACATACTTCTGCGCATTTACTGTTTATTTGCTGAATTTGCCATATTGAAAAAATAAAGCATATGCAAATGTTCTGGCACACTTTTTTGTTTTATGTTTTATTTTTTCCAATATGTTAAACCTGCCATATTTGAAAAACACCAATACAACAAGTCATTTGACGAGTAGTGTTTAAACTTTTGCATACGGCTGTATACAGCCACTAGCATAGGCTGGATTATAAGTTTACATTGTGAACTTTATTTTAATGTACAGCAGTTTTCAGTATTGGTGTAAAGTGGCATTTTTTTCTGTGCAGGAATGATGCTGGGTGGGTATATGTGGGGGTATCTGGCTGATCAGAGAGGCCGTCAGAGGGTGCTGGTCATTTCGCTGGCAGTGAACGGGACATTTGGTGCGGTGGCTAGTTTAGCCCCGAGCTTCTGGCTGTTCCTGCTGCTGCGGTTCCTCAGTGGAGTGGGGTAAGAATCCCTCAGAACATTCCGACACGGCTACTGTCCTTCAGAGTTAGAGGAAATGATCATGGAACTACCCCCATATAGGGCTAGTTTTCTGGCCACAGCCCAAAACCAGTCCTAGACTAAAAGTGTTATTCAGTGGAAAATTCCCTCCAAAAGTAAAGTTATGTTAGGCCAGGGGTGTCCAGTCTTATCTGCAAAGGGCCAGTGTAGCTGCAGATTTTCGTTGCACCAAAGTAGGATCTCACATCATCAGTTGTTTAAAGACTGAGACTGATTGATTAAACGAGTGAAATCAGGTGTCCTCATCTTGTTTGGAACTAAAACTTCCACACCCCTTGCGGATTAGATTGGACATCCCTGATATGGGCTGTTGCAGCACAAGATGTACTTCCACAGAGGTTTGATAAAAGTTTGAATTTTCTTTGTGGATGAGACAAACTACTATAGCTAATCTCAGTTACCACAGATAAGTAACAGTGTGTTTCATCTCTAGTGTGGGCGGATCCATCCCAGTTATCTTCTCCTACTTCTCAGAGTTCCAGCCGAAGCTGCACAGAGGGGCCATGATCAGTGCTCTTGCCACTTTCTGGATGGCTGGAAACATTTTAGCAGCAGGTACAACACTGATATTGGATTTTTTAAATGGGAGTTTGATGTACTATCTATTTGTCTATCTGTCTATCTATCTATCTATCTATCTATAATGTAAACATTTGTTAAAGGTTCAAAACATCTCTTTTTTATCACTACATGATTGTGATGTGACAACCATGAATACATTTACGTATGACCACATATGAGCATTGAAGTGATAAAGATGGTTGTTACTGCAGACTCTCTGTAGCACAGTTATTCAAGCAGAAGATGTGTGGAAAACAATTGAATGTTGTGATGATCCAGACAGCGAAAAGGAGGGTATGAAGTTTATTTTTTTGGTATGAAGTTCGTCTTTCTTATCTCAGTGTGTTAGCCGGTGTTGATTGTTAAAAATGCTGATGTAGAAACAAATAATGACAGTTTTTGGTGCATGTAGCAGAGCTGTAGTTTTGAATTTGAACCTAATCTGAGTCTGGAAAAAATTCTCAACCCAAAAATGACCACCACCAACCAGACACTGAAGAAAGTCAGTATTCCATATGATGTTAACCTGTTAAGTTACCTTAGCATCAATGTAAAGCTAGCTAGCTATGATGACAGCCATTATCAATTCATTGATGAATAAAATAAAATAAAATAATTCAATTCAAAGTCCAATATTAAGTTGAAATTCTACTTCAACAATTAGTTAACCTTGGATCTTGGTGCACGATGTTGCCAACAGCACAAGTGACACCAGTGTGCCAGATTAAGTAATAAATATTACAGTAATAAAACTCGGGAGAATTAATAGCATAAAGAGAAGAACTGAAGTGTGGGTAATTGCAGTCCTTTAAAGGTGGGAGACTACGAGAAACCCAGCCTAAGCACAAAATACTTGAAAAAGGGTGTCCAAACTCCAGCGTTGGCATTTGACTACCCCTGGGTTCAAAAAAGATATTATAAGCTCTAATATAAAACTTCACAAACCCTAAAAAACACAAAGACAGAAATCAGCTTAAATCTGTTCCTAATGATGATAATTACCTTTTTTATTTGTCCAGCAACTTAAGTGGTCTATAACAAAAACCACTAAACTGACTGAGAAATATGCTGAAATGAGAATCATAAGAAGAGAGAGAGTGATGGAAAAGAAAAAATAAGAGTAAGCTGGAGTGGGCTATGAGTTTGCAAATAACGTGTACAGATTTTTCAGTTGTTTCCTGTTATCTCTCTGATGTGGCCTGACAGCTTTGTATCCAGCTGAGCTCTGTGCTCTGTACCTGCTATTACACTCAGCAGAATGTGTGTGTGTTTTGTTGGGGAGAGCTGGCACTGGCACACTGATGAAATGCCTGGCATTCATTCCTCATGCCAGCAGCCAGTGTGTACATGGAAAGTGGGATGTTGAACTGCTTTGCTGCCTTGCTTTGTGAAGCAAGTCAAACCAAAAGAGTTTGGAAATCAGTCCCCAAGCAGAAAATCAGAGTAGGGGAAGCATGCAGCCCTGATGCGTTTGTATGGATGTGTTTGTATGTACTGGTGTACAGGTGCAGCCTGGTTAGTCATCCCCAGAACATTTCTGCACGTTGAGCTGGGCTGGTTGGATTTCCAGAGCTGGAGATTGTTTGTGGTGCTGTGTTCCATCCCCAGCCTCACCTCAGCCTTCATCTTCAGTCTGGCCATGCCTGAGAGCCCCCGCTTCCTCATGGAGGTACACCCATGATCCTGCCTTATGTGTGTGTATGTACATATTTAGAAACAGGATAATATTATTATTATTATTATTATTTTTATTGAATAGTACTATGAATAATGGCCATTTTGACTGGTAATTAAATAAACGAAGGGTGATCTGTGACTTTTGCACATGAAATGAACTTTTTTCCCAAGTAATGTTGTGTTTTTCAAGTTTGTACATGTTTTCATAGTGTTCTCTAAACTGATTGGGATCTAAAAGGAACAGGATTGTATAGGCATTAATGTGAAAGGAGCACAACTCAACTAGAATTTAGGTGCTCATGTCTAGATGCTTTGATGTCTGGTCTTGATTGGATTCAGTTTTCTGCCACTGCTCTGCTTTGCTTTATTTACTGTTACTGCACTATCGAATAGTTTTGTCAGTACCATTTAACTAGCCACAACATTTCACCTTTTATAGCATCATGCTGTTTTTGAACATATCCCAGGTGCAAAGAGCTGCAACTTTTGTGTCTTATGTGTCTCTGTTGTTCACTCAGGCTGGAATGGAGGAAGAGGCGCTGACTGTGTTCCAGCTGATGTACAAACTTAACCACAGAGGAAGCCGCAAACCTTTCCCAGTATGAATATGCTGTAGTCTTATCTTGCATTATGCTTGCTTATGATAGAATATTTACCATTAGGTATAGTGGCTTACACATAACGAATAGTGTCTGGTACACATAATGAAAAGCTGCTTCTAATTAATGAATTCAGCTACTTCAAGGTGCACCCATTGCTGACACAGGTGTTCAATTGTGCACCCACAACCTGTATAATCTCCATAGAAAAGCACCACTAATAGAATTGAATGCTCTGGAGCAGCAGCACATGAGCCTAAGGTCACCATGCCCAATGCCAAATGTCGACTAGAGGGGTACAAAGCCCCCAGCATTGGGTTGTGAAGCAGTGGAACTGTGTTTTCTGGAGTGATGGAGCTCCATTCAGTACCTTTGGAGTGGAGTTTGTGATGCAGAAGTAATCATCCAACATCAGCACCTAACCTCACTAATGCTTTTGCAGATAAACACAATCAAATTCTCACAGCAGTGTTCCAACATCTAGTGTAAAGTCTTTCTAAAAGAGTAGAGGCTGCTACTGCAGCAAAGGGGGGAAATTCTTATTAATACTCTTGATTTCAAAAGAAACACTGTATAAGCAGGTGTCTGCAAACTTCTGGACATTATAGTATAAGTAGTAATCAACAGTGCCAGAATTGGTCATTCCTCATGGGTCACTGAAACTGGTCTGAGTCTGCCTGTCACAGTGCCACTCCAGACTCAGTCATGCAGGACAGTTTGGTCTGGTCTGGTCTTTCAGCTGGATGGAAAGATCTAACAGCTTTGTTGAAATGAACATTGATGTGTGACTCTCGCAGCAAAAAGCAAAAGTTTCACTAACTTTTTATGAGTTATCATCATAGCTCTCTTGTCATTCTTTTTTTCTAGCTACATGCTGAAGGCACACATTGATTACTACTGAAGCTTACTGTGTTTGTGTGTTTAAAGGCGTCTGGGCTACTCATTAACCGTAAAGATGATGAGGATGAAGTGGAACCATTCAGAACGCGTAGATGCTTTGAACATCTAACCTGTTCTTTTAAACGGGTAGGCTCAGCTGTCACATCACTCACTCTTGTGCTAGATAGGTTTAGATGCAGAAGTTATTAATTTAATATTTACATAGGATCATATGTTTCTGATTTTTTTATGCTCAGTGTTATTTTTAATATTCAGATTTAGTGCTGTGACCCTAGAGATCATAATTTGAAGAAGTAAATGAATTCTCTGGCAACAGTTTTCTGCAGTTATGGCAAGAGAAAAAGGGTCTTGAATTAGAATAGAATGAGGCGGAAACTGAGATCAATCTGCAGTCCAGAATATGATACGGCCTCCTTACGGTTTCTCATTTTTCTCCCATGCCCCAGGGACTGGCTCCAATCAAACAGCTGTTTGTTAGTCCCTTGTTGTCCAGGAGCATTGCCCTGCTAATCATTTTCTACTGCATATCATTTGGGTATGTGTGGGATCTTCTCTACTGAAATTAGGACTGTTGTCTAAGGTGTAGGCTATTGAATGTATCATCACTGCTGTAACAAAGCTTTGTGTTTCCAAAATGCTAATCTTACAGGAAAGGGAAACATTCTTAACTTTAATGTACATTAAGTACAAGTAACAAGATTTTTCCATATAATTTTCGACCATTTCTGTTAATCCAGCTATCATGAAATGTAATAAAAAGAGTAGGTGGTATTTTCAATGGTCAAATTTTAAAAAGTTTTTGACATGACAGTGAAAATATGTTACATGTACATAGTACATTCAGTACATATACTAATGTAAAATCATTTTTAAAATCATTCGTAGGTACTATGGTTTGTGGATGTGGTTTCCTGAGCTCTTCAAGAGAGCTGAAGATGGAGGTTCTCCGTGTGCCAATATGTCTCGACCTCAAAGTCAAAAGAATGAGAGCTGCTATCCAGTAAAAACTGCAGGTGGGGTATTTAAAAGAGCTATATGTTGACATAGAAAAGTGCATAGTACAAAGACAACACAACACATGACTGTGAAACATTAGAACTTGGTAAATCAAGGCTGGAAAATTATTATTAGATGACATTGCTTTGTTACTATTATGAGACGTATTCATGACATCATTGTCATTGCACAAATCTTCACTGTTTACAGTTTATATGGAGGGTTTTGTGACGGCAGCCTCTAACCTGCCTGGAAACATCTTCACCATCCTGCTGATGGACATAGTGGGAGGGAAGATCCTCCTCGGTCTGTAACCGTTCAGCCTTTTTTTAGTAGTAACATTTGCATTTGCATAAAGATCTTGCACAAACCCCAGTACTGGGATGCCTGTTTAGTGCTGTTAGCCTAATGCAAAGTAATGTGTAAAAGTCGGAGAACATCCTTCCTTTATTTCATTTCCAGTCAAAATGGCCATTAAGTACAAGTTATTCCCATTTTTCCAACTTCTGTTTTTTTTCCACTTATTTTCTTTTTGACTTTCTTCTTTTCTTCCTTATGCAAGTGATTATCTTATATCTAATCTTCACAGAAATATCTCCTGAAAAATGAATAACTTGTACTTATTTATTAGTAGTTATTTTGACTGGAAATTAGGGATGGTCTTTTTTGCACAGTACTGTACTTGCGTGTCAGAATAAGAGTGCTGGTTTTGGCCATCTATTCTTGTGGTTACACTGATGCCTGAAAAGGGAAGTTTGAATCATAATCTGTGCTCATTAGAATGTGAAATATTGAAACTTATCTTAGATCAGTACACAAACGTTTTTCACGAATGTTGTCTGACTGCTCTCTTTCTCAGCTGGGAGTCTGCTGGTGTCCAGCGTGAGCGTATTCCTGATTTATGTAGTGAAGACTAAAGGCCAGAGTCTCTTAATGTCCTGTGTGTTCAGTGGGGTCTCTGTCATCTCCTGGAACGCTCTGGATGTAGCGGGTACTGAGCTTTACCCCACACAGTTACGGTAACTATCTTCACTGGCACTATACTGCAGACGTGCACTGTACACTTCTCTCTCAATCACACTAATATTGAAAATTCAGAATATTTTCATTTTTTTAAATCTAGCAATAGCATGCTTTAAAACATGATTCTGTATTGAATAAATACCTTTGACATCAATTCAGTGTTATTTCATTGTCTTTTAGCTCCTCTGCATTGGGCTTCTTCACTGGAGTAGGCCGAGTGGCAGCAATCATGGGAAATGTAGTTTTTGGCCAGTTGGTGGACACCAACTGTTCAGTGCCTATACTGGTGGTATCAGCTTTGCTGCTGGCTGGGGGTCTAGCATCTCTACAGTTACCTCAAACCAAACAGACAGATTTAACATGAAACACAGGCACAGTTAACATGAGACAAAACACATACACAGACTTACCAAACACACCTGAACAAACATGAAGGCTGAATGAACACTAGTCAGTTTAAAAGCCTGTGCCTCCAGCCAGACCTAACAAACAGAACTTTATTGGAACACAAGAATTTGCTTGCAGCTTGCCTTGATTTCTAGGCGGATCTTTTGATTGGCCTTATTGAACCATCAAACATCTTCCCTTTGAGAAAGAGGAAAGGATGTTTCAAATAGAGATGCACCATTCAAGATTTTTTAAATGGACAGTTGTGATTCTGGTTTCCAAATTGGCTGATTTTTATTAGCCTTTTTTAATCTGAAGCTCACACTGTGTGGGGTTCCAGCACTTTTACTTATTGGCCAAACTTGCATAATAAACATAAATATTTACTCTTTAAGGGCATTGGCATTTACATTTTTTTTAAATAACATAAACCTATTAAACCACTACATCAAAAGTAAGGCAATTGGCTGTTTAACACAATGACTCATGTAATGATGCTACGACAGATGGTACAGATGTAGCAGCAACATTCAAATACAACACAAGTGCACTTACCTGACTCATGTTATTTATTTACCTCATAAAATTGCAACACAAATCAGCCAAAATAAAAACAATAAATTGTCTGATTGCCGATTTCATGTTTTTAGCATGTTGGATTCCAGTCTTGGCCGATTTTGGTGCATCTGTAGTTTCAGATATGTAATTTCAATCACATCGCTAATAACATATCCTCACAAACACAACCCAGAACCAAACTTTAGGTAAGTTACAGCAGTCATTTAGACCTTTTTCTGCCTCTCATGTTGGACCAAGCAGGTTCCAGTCTATTAGTAAAATAAAGTGGGATTGAGTTGGTGGCTGGAACTGAGACCAGTCTGAAATGCACATCTTGCAGCCAAGACCAAAGCCTTCATTCGGTCTCACAAAGACAACTCGTTTTGCATCGCTGTCCATCGGTGTCTTATAACTTTGCATTGCACAAATGCACTAAATCTAGTTTAGATTATGAATGCTGAATTTACTTTTATATGATAATTAATAATGGGCATTTTTTTGGATAATAAAACATACAACAATGATGTTCTTAATTGTACTGCATTGTTACAATAAAAGATGTACCAGGGTGCTAAAAACTGATGATATGGTTGTCTTTATTTCCAGAGAAATTTTAATTATTATTTCGCACACATAAACAGAACAGACTCGTAATGCTTCAACAACTTTATTGTGCCCAACTGGAACAACCTCCATTTTAGGTAACCATGGCAACACTTGCAGACCAATGAGGTAGAGATTTTTAAACTCTAAAAAGCAGCTGGGCCAGGCAACAAGCTCAGCACAACAAACCTGATCGAAAAGCAAGAGAGAGGGGCAGAGAGAGACCGGCAGAAGGAGAGGCAGACAGACCGACAGACAGACACACTGACGTGACACTAGGTCTTTGGCACACAGCTTTAGAGTCCAAATAAAAACAGGGAGTTAAGTTGCATTTGATGGTTTACAATAGATAGGCCTAGTAACACTTAACTCTACATTCAACAGTAACACAAGAGTACAAGAAAGGAAATTAAAGGGTCATGCTCTAGATGACTCTGCCTGCCCCATTCTAGTGAAATACAAGAGGGGAATTAAAACCACCGTCTCCCCTGTTTCCCCAAGTGCAAATTAAAAAAAAGTGCAACAATTTGATTAAAACTATGTACAGTCCACAATCTCAGAGGTCAAAGTCCGTTCCAACGTCGTTGCCATGTGTATCTGACCGTTGACAGCAAGATTGCTGCTAAGCAGCAGTGGCATTCAAAGATGGAATACTTAATGAGTGGATCTGCTGCATAGCCAGGTCATGCATCAACCATTTTATGTTACTTGTTAAAATAAAATTAAAACAACTGTCAAAATCACAAACATCTACCCCAGGTAGTTAGAGAGAGGAGAACTACAGGGCAAATACTAACTAAAAAACTACCAATTCGGGCCCATGCCTCAGCCGAATACCGCAGGTAGAAGGACTAAAAACAGTGTAAAAATGTCTGAAATGAACTCCAAACTTGAAAATAAAAAGGCCAGCAGACCTGCCAAAAATAATAAGAATGTAGAGGCAAAACTTTTGCCTTCCAACATAAGAGGCTTGCATGATGAATACAGATGCAAGGCGTTTAAAAAATTAAAACAGAAAAACTGTGAAAAAGCTCTAAAATCAGGAAGGCATTTTTCTATTTGCCACCTGCAGAAATTCGGGGTTATCTCCATGGTGATGGTTGTCTGGGTAACTGTGCAAATGGGTCACCATCACCCAGCCCCTCTGTCTGCATAGTGCCTTAGTGAACGAGTAAACAGCAAAAAGAGAAAGCAGTGCAATACTAGAACTTTCTACAGTGATCCTCTCCTGGCTCTATCAGCTCAGGGAAGGGGATGGCACAGTTAATCTCCCTCAGCCCAGCGAGCTCTCAGCCCTCTGGGTTAGCAGCAGAGTTATGGTTGGCGCTGCCCATTCAGCTCGAGTTGAGGCTCTTCTGGTTGCGCATGAGGGGCCGGTGACTACTCAGCACGTCCATGGAGTGCTGCCAGTGCCAACAGGAGCGGCAGTAGTACTTAAAACAAGCCTGAGAAAACGACAGGGAAATATGATTTACAGTCATAATCAGACACCTGATATTTGTATATACATCAGATTTAATGTAGACTAATGCACATTCATCCTTAACAATGACACCCTTTAAGGACTTAATTTCACAAATACAGCAGATTTTTCATAAATTTTAGATGTCTAAACACATTAACAGTCCTAAAGAATCAATTCTGTAAACTTGTTTGAATATCATCGCTGTTTCTTAAGTTTTATTTCCTGACATCATTTGAGCAACACAGCTGCTGCACACGTTGTGTGAACGTTTCAAGCTGAGAGAAATGGTCCAAAATTACAATTTTATAAAGTATCTCCAAAATAGTAACTTTACAGGAAAGGGCAAAAATGTTCCTTACTTTCAATGCAAGTTAATGAAAAATATTTTATTCTAAGCAATTTTTGATCATTTCTATTGGTCCAATCTTCACTAAATTTTCACACAATGTAAAGGACAGCTGCTGAGCTCAAATGATGCAGAAAAGTAAAAATTACACAAAATAGAGCTATGTTTTTCATTGGACAGCGACGATATACAAACGCATACACACAGACACACACACAAACAGCAAGCCATGTAAGAGGAGAACAGAGTGAAGGGACACAGCACCTCCACACTTTTATTCTCCACAGGTTCACCTGTGTAATATAAATGTGTAGGGGGTTTACAGTGTGAAGTCATTAAAGAAGTGTTATTTTCCCATAAAATAGCAAAGGTCAAGCAATCTGGGGTTGAAATAATAATAAATTGCATCATTTTTTTCTTTTGGTAAACAGTGAAAATGAGTCCCACAGACCCCAACACCACACAAGGGTTAAACAAGTTATATCAGGTTTATAAAGTGTTTTTTAAAAAAACAAAGTGTAGCTGTGCTCAGAAAGCAACGTTTATTAACTTTATTAACTTAAATATCATCTTATACAGTGATATATTCAGAAAATATTGTGCTATAAATGCTATCAATACCACCTGCTAAGTGTACTGTAGCAGGGCTCAGAGCATCTGATACTGCATAGCATCACTTTCTCACCTGGTCTCTGCAGAAGAACGGGCCTGGCTGACGATTACATACTTGGCACATGGAGTCATCAAGGTATGGGTCAATCTGAACCTAAAACAAGTCGAAAACAAAAGTATGAAGAAGCAGATACAGCTGAGAGAGAAGAAACTTTGACCATGAACAAGACTGTGCATCTTGTGTAACTCCAGATAATCCTGAATGCAGACGACATACTCTGCTCTCTGTACACAACTCCTCTCTCACCTTCTTGGTGAACTTTGCGGTTTTGATCTCCACAAACGCAGCGCTCACTGCTTTAAGGTAGCTCTTCTGGTTCCTGAACGTCACACGTCCTGATCCTGCAAAAGCCAGATATCATAAACTGAACAACCATAATGTAATTCCCATGATACACGGACAGACTGCGATGACTGAATGGCAGACCTATTGGATATTTGTGCTTGTCTGTGTCGATCCCAGCGTAGGTGACCCCTCCGAACAGTTCCTCCATGATGTGGGCCAGAGCTTCAGCGTTCAGCATGCCGTGCAGAGCTCCCACAAACACAGTTCTGCTGGGGAAGAGCCGTAGGGAGGGGCAGCGCACAAAATTACTGTCTGTGATCACCCATGGAATCACCTGCACCTGTGTGAACAGGAAAAAGAGTTTTATCATAGTCCTTATTACAGCTTGAAGTATTTGTTCAGTCTGGTTTGGACACCATTTCACAAATATGTGTCAGGTTCAGATTTCACAAGCAACCACCCCGCCCACTTTTAACAGATTATACCTGGCATTTCCCTCACTTTAGTTTCTCGGTTTACTTTATTCTTCCTCCCTACTTTCATTACTTTGAAACAGTTTTTTATCTGCCATGATGGAGTCATTCATTTGTGTTGCTGACAGAATTTATCATTGAGGTCCACGAGGCCCACACATAGAATGGATTTAGGGCAATAAAACATTGAATCAATTCAGGAAGTTTAGTTTAGTTTATTCAGTTTAGTGCAGCCAAAAGGATGTTAATGTTACATTTGTTTGGCCAAATATTTATTTATATCTTACATGTAATATGTTCAAGGTTATGAAACAGAGTTGTGTAGTAAACAGAACTAACATCTTCTTGTATCAGCATGAGAACAGTGCATCACAGGAAGTATATCCACAGTAAAAAACTAGGGATGTTGTTTAAAAGCACTGCTTGATGAACAAATTTAACTGTTATATAACAGTAATTTAACTGATGTTATCATTAAAAGTATCAGATTTTATTCAGCACTTAGGGTGATCTGACAAAATTTTGTTGGACTGAGGTCAGTTGTGCACTCAACACTTGATGATGTGGTTTGGTGCGGACTCGGATGTTATTAATTGTATTGTGATGGTCTACCTTACGATATATTTAAATACAGTGGTGATCCCTTAAACAGTTATAATAAGTGTGCATTACTTTGACCAAAACTGTTTACGTTTGAAGCTGAAATATGTCATTTAGAATATTCTAAAAAAAATAAGTATATTTTTCAATGTGATACTCACATCCTTGCAACGTATTCTTTTGCTAGACATCTTATAGTAATACTCCAGATAATCGCCGGGATGCAGATGGCGCTGGGTGCAGGCCTGCAGCAGAGCCTTCACTGATTTCTCAGACTCAAACACCAGGTACACATAACCTACACAGAACATTTAGTCTTAATGTGCATGCTGACAAATGCATTGTGTGCTGCAGAGCAGCTGCCATTAGCCGAGACCACTGTTTGAATTTCAAATAAGTGTATATTAAGTGTTCAAGTGTATAGATACTAATCTCAATCTCTTTATCAAAACAATGAAACTCATGAGGATATATGCTAAAGAATGCAAAGGGCCAAAACGTTACTGCATTACCACAAGGCTGATTACCTTGAGGAGGGCATCGAGGGTGCTTGCCATCCTTGCCAGGCCATTCCACCTTTAGGGGTCCAAACACACTAAATGTGTTCAAAAGACTGGCTGTAGAGACAGACACATTCATAGAAACATAGTATTTTTAACAATGAATTTGAATGGTTTCTGTGTGTCTGCGGATTAACAAATGGAGCTGAATTTCGTGCAGCCGTCAGGCAGCTTTGTAATGAACGTACACAGCAGACATCTGGTTTTGACACACTGCACGTGTGAAAGATATGCAACCTTTCTGTAAGGGAATCACTAAACTGTGCTGGTCTCCGGCCTTTAGTTCCCCACCCTGGATTCAAGCAGCTAGACAGATTAGTGTCAAATTTTGCACCTCACACAGGTGAATTAACTATCATATCATGTCATGCTCGAGCCATTTGTGTATATCGTCAATGTCGAATTAAAATGAAAAAAGAAAATTTGCAGGAGGAGAAAAAAACATTAACCTTCAGTTTACATTAACAATTAATAACATTTTATTCTGCTTCATTTTGGACTGTTCCTGTGACACCATTTATCATGATTTTTTGAAAAAAAAGAGCAAAGAGCAGCTGGCATTTTCAAATTATTAATT